TCTCTCTCTCTCTCTCTCTCTCTCTCAAATAAATAACTAGAATCTTTAAAAAGTTTTTTTAATGTTAAAAAGTTATTAAAAGATATTGAATAGTTAATGAGTATCAACTACAATTTGAAAAGAAAAAAATAAAAAGAAAAAGGTATCGGGTAGCTCATTTTATTAGCTAGGATTATGTTCAACTGCATATAACATATATACCCTCATACATATAAGAAAAGCTTTAAAAAGATAGCTGTTTTTCTTTAATGCAAAAATAATCCCAAAGTATGTGGTCTGGGACTAGAATGGTTCTGAAGGATGTGGTTCCTTCCAGCACTCTAGTCTCCCATCCCTAAAGTGTGACCCCTGTCCTCACAGTGCTTGGTGGCTGCTGGGGTTCTAGCTGTTGTTAGAATTCCAGACACATGATGGATGAAGGAAAGAACAAAGGGTATCTTCCTTTCCCTTTAGGATTCTTCTTGGAAGTTGCATGCAACATTCCTTATACCTCACATTGGCTAGAATTTACTCACATGGTTGTACCTAACTTCAGGGGAATCTGGCAATGCCATCTATCTGGGTGGCAAGTGTATCCAGGGAGGAAAAAATCAGGATTCTGATTTCCAAGGAAGAAAATGATGCCTCTTTAAGTTTTTGCAACATTCCTACAATTGCCAAGTGCTACCCATTGTGAAGAATTCTCCAAACAAACCACAAAATTAGTCTAGTACAGATTCTCCTGCCTGCTACCTGCTGCCCAGAGTGTAATAGACCGAGTGTAATAGACCTCTCCACACTGTAACCAGTGTAGGCCTGGATACTTTTACTATTCTCCTGGAGCTCTATCTTCCTTGTACTGGAGCAACAGCCACTAGAGAGAGAACTCACAGTCTTTTCCTCCTGACTCTTGGTCTGGCAAGTTATGTGTGAGGGAAGAGCCCAGGGTTCAGGAGAAGCTAAGAAAGCAAGCCCCTGGCACAATCAACCTCTAGAAGAAGGAGGCTCTGCTTCCCTCCAAGATCCCAAACCTGAAGAACTAAAACAGAAAAGAGAATCAGATGCAAACCAGCCTAAAATAAAGACTCTGAACTTTCCACTCTTAAGTACAAAGTTACAAATCGTATTGTTGAGGTTGCATCCAAATGCTTTGGAAGCCCTGAGGACAGGCTCCCAGCTCTGACTGTGGGCATCAGGAAAGACTCCATCTAAAGGGGCACATATAAACTGAGTGGGAGTTTTGGGCAAAGATCCTCCAGTCTGCCTCTTGAATCAGTTTACTCTGTGAACCACCATTAGCAATGTTTTATATAATGCTGCTCTATTTTTATGTATTTTTTTAAAATGTTATTTCCTATGGACTATTTTTCAATCTGTTTTTTATTTTTATTTTTTTTTTAAGATTTTATTTTTTTGAAAGACAGAGCACTAGCGGGGGAGGGGTAGAGGGAGAGGGAGAAGCAGACTTCCCAGTGAGCAGGGAGCTTACTGCTGGCTGGATCCCATCAACCCAGGACGATGACCTGAGCTGAAGGCAGATGCTTAATCGATTGAGCCATCCAGGTGCTCTTCAATCTGCTTTTTATTTTTATTTTATTTTTTAAAGATTTTATTTGTTTATTCATGAGAGACACAGAGAGAGAGGGAGGCAGAGACACAGGCAGAGAGAGAAGCAAGCTCCACACAGGGAACCCGATGTGGGAGTTGATCCCAGGTCTCCAGGATCATGCCCTGGGCTGAAGCCTGCACTAAACTGCTGAGCCACCTGGGCTGCCCTAAATTGATTTTCAATCTTTAAATCCTTATCTAGATAGCCTAGAAAAATTATATACAGTATGGTTACATTTTCCTAAATGTTAAAAATTACCTTTTTTCTCTTTTGCTGAGTTTTCAATGCAAGAATCACATCCCCAAATTCTGCAGCAAAACTTAAAAAGCCTCATTTTATTTTTTTAAAAAGATTTTATTTATTTGAGAAAAAGAGAGAGAGTGAGTGTGTGTGTGTGTGTGTGTGTGTGTGTGTGTCTGAGAGAGAAAGATCCCAAGCAGGGGGAGCCCAATGTGGGACTTGATCCCAGGATGCTGGGGTCATGATCTGGGCTGAAGGCAGATATTTAACTGACTGAGCCATCCAGGTGCCACAGAAGCTCCTTATTTTATACCCAAACACATCCGAAATTCTTTCAGTGTCATTTTCTTCTCAGTCAGCCTTACTAATTCTGATCTGAACTTTGTAGTCTCTTACTCGGCAGTGCAGCTGTCATCCCGAGCCTTCCCTTCACCATCATCCTAAGCATTCCTACCTCCTCTCTCCTGTGTTGGATTTTCTGTTACTTTGATCCTACATTCTTTTCTTTCTTACTGTACTCCTTGGATTTGGTGGAACATAAATTCCAGAAACTTAACAACAGGTGCATGGCACCTAAATAATTTTTTGAGACCTTGCATATCTGAAATTCTTTATTTTCCCCTGACACTTGATTGCAAATAGTTTAAGCTGGATATAGAATTCTAGATTGGAAACTATTTTTCCCCAAAATTTCTAAAGCATTGTTCTCATTGCCATGTCACTTTTATGTTGCTCTTAAGAGATCTGATGGGGATCCCTGGTTGGCTCTGTGGTTTATCACCTGCCTTCAGCCCAGGACATGACCTGGAGTCCTGGGATCGAGTCCCATGTTGGGCTCCCTGCATGGGGCCTGCTTCTCCTTCTGCCTGTGTCTCTGACTCTCTCTCTCTCTTTCTGTCTCTATGAATAAATAAAATCTAAAAAGAGAGAGAGAGAGAGAATCTGATGCCATTCTAATTCCTGATCTGTGTACATTACGTTCTTTCTTTCTAGAAGTTTTTTTTTTAAGATTTTATTTATTTATTCATGAGAATACACAGAGAGGGGAGAGAGGCAGAGACACAGGCAGAGGGAGAAGCAGGCTCCATGCAGAGAGCCTGACGTGGGACTTGATCCCCGGTCTCCAGGATCACGCTCTGGGCTGAAGGGGGCACTAAACCACAGAACCACCCTGGCAGCCCCCTTTCTAGAAGTTTTTAAGGCCTTCTCAATATCCATAAACTTGAAATTTTTCAGTAAATGTGCTCTGATACGGCATGTTATAATCTTTGGGCATTGAGGGGTTCCTTTGGACCTATATAAACTTATTTTTTTGGTTCTGGGAATTTTTCTTTTGTTATCTTTGAAAATCTCTCTATTTTTCTTCTTCTTTCTTCTAAATCCCTAGTTTTGGGTGTGTGTTGGATCTCCTGCATTGATCCTCTTTATTTTTCCTATTGATCTATTTTCCATCTCTTTGTCTTTTGTTTTATTTTCTGTACTATTTCCTTACTATTCTACTTGTTTCTGCTATGTTTAATTTCTAGGTTACTTTCTTATTCTGTACATTTATAATTTAATAGTATTCTGTTCTTAATATCCTTAATTCATTAATTTTTAAAAGATTTATTTATTTGAGAGAGAAAGAGCACATGAACACACGAGCAGGGGGGAAGGGCAGAGAGGGAGAGTGAGAAAAGTAGGCTCCCTGGTGAGCCTGAAGCCTGGAACAGAGTCAATCCCATGACCCTGAGATCATGGCCTGAGCTGAAATCAAGAGTCAGATGCTCAACTGACTGAGCCACCCAGGTGCTCCTAATTCATTTTTTAATATTTTTATTGTTTTCAGGTAATGTCCCAATCTCTTTCATAAAAAGCATAAGGTTTGTAGACCCTAATGGTTCTATAAAATTCTCCTTTTAAAGTCAGTGTGGTGGGGCAGCCCCGGTGGCGCAGCGGTTTAGCGCCGCCTGCAGCACACGGTGTGATCCTGGAGACCCTGGATAGAGTTCCACGTCAGGCTCTCTGTATGATGCCTGCTTCTCCCTCTGCCTGTGTCTCTGCCTCTCTCTCTCTATCTCTGTGAATAAATAAATAAAAATCTTTAAAAAAAATAAAGTCAGTCTGGTGGAGCATCCAAAAGACTTGGTATGAAGAATAGTCCTATTAGGCTTCAAAAATTGATATCTGCATTTATATTGTGCAGATTGAAGAAACAAAATCTGTAAAAAAAATCATTTTATGATAATCCATGTCTGAATCTTTTCGAAAATTGGCATATTTATTTGAGGAATAATTGTGATAGTTTCCTTTTCATTAAAAAGTAATATTGCTGGGGCACCTGGGTGGTTCAGCTGGTCAAGTGTTTGACTCTTTGTTTTGACTCACGTCTTGATCTCCCAGTCATTAGAGCAAGCTCCAGGGTGGATCTGCTTTGGATTTTTTCCCCCTTTTCTCTACTTCCCCCCACTCCAATAAATAAGCAAGCAAGCAAGTAAGTAAGTAAATAAATAAATAAAATCTTTGGGAAAAAAAGAAGGATGCCTGGGTGACTCAGTTGGTTAAGCCCTGGACTCTCAATTTAGGCTCAAGTCATGATCTCAGGGTCGTGAGATCAAGCCAGAGTCAGGCTCTGCCATCGGTGGGGAGTCTGGTGGAGATTCTCGGTCTCCCTCTCCCTCTGCCCCTCCTCTGTTCTCATTCTCAAAATAAATAAACTCTTTAAAAATTAATATTACCCCAAAATTAATATTTATATTAATTTAAATGTAATAATATTGGATATAATAACATCCAATAATCGTCTCTACCCATTCTTACAGTCAAAGTAACAGTCATTAGACTAAGATGTTTCCAGGAATTTTTGACTAGCCATTGTTGCTACAAAAATGAAAGCTGATCTCTTTTACTGTAGTAGCCACTTGAGTTGCTAATATTTACTTTATTGAAGATACAAAGAGAGTAAACTTTAAAAAGAAAAAAATGTTTTGCCTTGGCAATGTTCACAACAAGTCTATGTTCTCATTTTTTGTTGCTGGACACTAAAATTTTTCAGGGGTGAGTGTCCAATCTAATCAAGCACTGTTTTGATGCTGCACCAAGTGGAAGCCTGCCATATTTATGGAATCAATTCTGTTACATAATTTTTCAGTATTTTACAAAGATTTATTTTATTTTTTCTTGCTTATTCTAGTGAGACTCTATACAACTTCATTTCCCATATCAGAGAAAGCATTCACAGGGTAAGTATAGCTACATGTCAAGGAATTAGAACATTTTACATTTTAAGAAGTTTACTAATTACATTGACCTTAACTCATATAGGATAGCATGTTTTTTCTTTTCTTTCTTTTTTTTAAGCATGTTTTAACTACCTTTTTAAAATTATTAAATGACAATATTACAAGTTAGTAAAATAAGGCAATAATCCGTGAATTCTTTCTTAATCTGGGATTTCTTAGTTGCAGACATCTGTGGAAAAATCTGAGGAACATCTCAGTTCAAGAAGCCAAACAATTTTGGATTGTTTGGAGACTGTGACTAAGACATGTGAGTATCTTGTATTTGAGGTTAGCAGCAGAGGGCACTGTGTGCAGTGAACTGAACTTTCTGACCCTAGCCACGTTTCTGTCAGTGGTGAGGTTCCATAGTGTTTCAGATGAGAGAATGGGTACATTAAGGTTAGCCCTGAAGAGATGTGGAGCACACTGAACTCAGTGGTGGGACCCACCTAGGTGTGGGAGTGTTCCTGGTCCTTAGCTGCCCCCTGTGAAGCACTAATCCTCCACCTAGTAATCCCATTGCTGCCTCGGGATAGGTAGCTCTGCCAGATTTCTCATCTCACTGCCTAAAGTGAATCAGAAGCATCCCTGAATCCCTAATGAATTGCTGTCTGTATTGTCTATAAAGACATTGTTCTGTTAGGACTTAGAAATAAAGACTGCTCCCTTAGGAGTTAGAAATACTCCAGCCACCTAATCTTCTTGATGCCTTGGTTTCAATGAGAGCTATTTTGTAGTGAATTACCTCTTTCTCCATTTCAGTTAGTGGTTTGTAAAGTCCCTTGCTCTACCAATTAGCAATTTAGGTTTAAATAAAACCATGTTCCTGGCTCTAACTAAACAGAAGAGAGCCATAACACTGCTCTCCTTAGGCGGACACCTCTGTAGAACCAACAGCTTCTCAGCTAAATAGCAAGATGATGACTGCATCTGTACTTGTTTGCATTTGTCTGTGTGTTTATTTTTTATTTTGAACAAATTGAAGTCAACTTATTTAAATGCCTTGGAATGGATTGCTCATGATTTACAAAAATTAATGCCTTTGTGTGGCTTAGAAATTAATCTTCATCTGTCTGCAAAAAAGCACTGCACTGTCTGCTGGCTTCCAACCTGGGTATTCCACACATAGGGCAACTGTGCCTAATCTTTTTCGAAACCAGTTTTGGACACCTGGGACTATTACTCTCACAAGAAGTAGCAAGACAAAGAGCAGAAGCAAACCAGGAGTGTTTCCTTTGTGTAAAGTGATAGAATAACTCATTTATAAGTGCCCAAGGAAAGCACTCTTTTTTTTTTTAAGATTTTATTTATTTACTCATGAGAGACAGAGAGAAAGAAAGAGAGAGAATGGCAGAGACACAGGCAGAGGGAGAAGCAGGCTCCGTGCAAGGAGCCAGACGTGGGACTCGATCCATGGTCCCCAGGATCACGCCCTGGGCCGAAGGCGGCACTAAACTGCTGAGCCACCCGGGCTGCCCACTTTTTGTTTTCTTCATTTAAAACTAAGTGAAGTACAAAAAGGAGGATTGCAGCATAAGTGTGACATTCTTAGCCCAGACTAGGGAATGGAAGTGCCCAAACTCCCAATACAAGATCAAGACAGAGTGAGGACTAGAACTGGGTCTGGCTTATAGTAGGCATAGGGATCCTGATCCTTCATCCTGATAGTTCCTTTTTAGAGGGTAAGACTCAGGAGAAGGAGCCACATTGATAGGGCAATCAGTAACAGACACTGTGGCATCATATTAATTACAAAGCCAGATCATTCCTTTTTTATTTTTTTATTATTTATTTATGATAGTCACACACACAGAGAGAGAGAGAGGCAGAGACATAGGCAGAGGGAGAAGCAGGCTCCATGTACCGGGAGCCCGATGTGGGATTCGATCCCAGGTCCCCAGGATCGCGCCCTGGGCCAAAGGCAGGCGCTAAACCGCTGCGCCACCCAGGGCTCCCTCATTCCTTTTTTAAAAAAAGATTTTATGTATGTATGTATGTATGTATGTATGTATGTATGTATGTAGAGAGCTCAAGTGGCAGTGTGGGGGATGGGGCAGAGAGAAAGGGAGAGAGAATCTCCAGCAGATTTTGTGGTCAGTGCAGAACTTGACGCAGGGCTTGATTCCATCACCCTGAGATCATGACCTGAGGTAAAATCAAGAGTTGGATACTTAACCAACTGAGCCACCCAGGCACCCCTAGAAAGCCAGATCATTCTTGAAAATGGCATAAATAGTCTGTCCAAAGTCATTCCTTTTCTTGGTATGTAGTGATCAGGAAGTTAGTCATTGAAAGAGGAACCAAACAATTCCTCTATCTTCACATGGTCTGGGCCAGTCTAGCTGGCCTGAAACACTGAATTTGTCAGCCGGTACATCCTGGAGCCTTCAATACGCATTTACTGTGGCTCATAAGGGAAAGGGAAAGATACTGTGTGAAAGTGCTCTCTTGTGCTACAATGTAATTGGTACCTTCACAGAACAGAGGTCATGAAATCTTTCCCTAGTCAGTCTGTTCAACCAGAGGGAACACTGGTTCCCTAAAGCCATTTAATCTAGCTCCTCTTGTTCTTCAGTTGAGGACTGAAGACTAGAATAATAGAATAAATTACCAAGGTCATCCACATCCTAATTTAAGTTTGGGTGGGCTAATTAGTAAAGAGCAGTAGCACCTAATAGGGATTGAAAAATATGATTGGGGCACCTGGGTGGCTCAGTGGTTGAGCATCTGCCTTTGGCTCAGGTCATGATCCTGGGGTCCTGGGACTGAGTCCCGTATCTCCCTCTGCCTATGTCTCTGCCTATCTCTGTGTCTCTCATGAGTAAATTAATAAAATCTTTAAAAAATATATGATCAATAGGAAAATAAAAAGGAAGGGCTGCTATTGAAAATCAGAAAATAGGAGTGCTGGTGGCTCAGTCGGCTAAACATTCAACTCTTGATCTCAGGGTTAGGAGTTCAAGCTCTGCATGGGCTCCATGCTGGGTGTGGAGCCTACTTTAAAAAATAAAAAAAGAAAGAAAATCAGAAAATGTCTTCTTTGGAAAATAGATAACTTTATACATAAAAATAAATTCCATATGAATCAATATAGTAAATGTAGTGATTAAGTCATATAAAGAAGTATAAGAAAATAATGGTCAGACAGCCTCTGTGGCTCAGCAGTTTAGCACCGCCTTCAGCCCAAGGCTGATCCTGGAGACTCGGGATTGAGTCCCATGTCGGGCTCCCTGTGTGGAGCCTGCTCCTCCCTCTGCCTGTGTCTCTGCCTCTCTCTCTGTGTCTCTCATGAATAAATAAAATCTTCGAAAAAAAAAAAAAAGAAAAAGAAAACAATGGGCAACATTTTTATAATTTTGGAGTCAAGAAATGCTTTTCTAAGCAAGGCACATATAATCATCAAGAAGAATGAGGTCTAGGGCACCTGAATGGCTCAGTAGTCTAAGCATCTGACCAGCTCAGGTCATGATTTCAGAGTCCTGGGAACCAACTTTGTATCAGGCTCTGAGCTCAGCACAGAGTCTGCTTTTATCCCTCTCACTCTGCTCCCCACCCCCCCACTCTCTCCTTCTCTCAAATAAATAAAATCTTAAATTAAAAAAAAGAAGAATGAGGTCTATCTTTATGAACCATGTTAAAATGGAAATATCTGTCCATCGTTAAATAATAACAGCAAGGTGCTGCTTGTGCGCACATAATTTACTCCGGGGTACATTTTGTGGAGGAGTATGACCAGTCAGTGAAAATTAGGAAGGGCATCCTGAAGAAAATGGGAGATGCTTCTTATACATGGAGGCTCCCAGACCTTTCCTCAGGCTGTCATCAGCATGGCAAGGAGAGCAAAATTACAGAGTACATAAAAGGAAAACCACTGGCCATCAGTGGAAAAGTGTAGAATCTGAGCCTTGTCAAATCACAAAAATAGAAATGAATTAAAAAATCATCTTCAAAGAAAACAGAGATACTGTCCAGGATATGGAAATGGATTTTAAATGGCATTTTTACAAAATAGTTAAAAATACCTGATGTTTATTGCTAAAGCAAAAATGAAATGAGTCCTCTTCTAAATAACACCCATACACTTACACACACACACATGATCTATAATCTATACATAGATATGCACATGTACCAATGTATCAACACAAATTTCTAGGAACTGCTTGTAATGTTAAATTCCAGGAAGTGAACCAAGGTTTGCATGGGAGCGAATCTGTCATTTTTCATTGGATATCTTTTTATACTGTTCTAGGTTTGAGTTATTTTCTTAAACTTTTTAAAAGAAAAAAAAGGGATAGATTTTGGAAGTAATGAGCTTGATATAAAAGCTCCTGTGAGGGGATCCCTGGTTTGGTGCCTGCCTTTGGCCCAGGATTGAGTCCCGCATTGGGCTCCCGGCATGGAGCCTACTTCTCCCTCTGCCTGTGTGTCTCTGCCTCTGCCTCTGTCTCTCTGTCTCTCTGTATCATGAATAAATAAAATAAATAAATCTTTAAAAAAAAATGCTCCTGTGAAAGTAAAGATCCCAAACATATGTTTCCAAGGGGACAAGGAAAGACTTTGTGGGACCACAGATAGATGCTTTCTGAGTACTCACTCTGAAACTGAACACTTTGCTTGCCTTCTTCATTCTCTGCTTTTGTGGTTGGTAATGTTCACTGTTGCTAAGAAACATTGCTATTTAGGAATTCATCTAGGATAGGATAATTACATTTGCTTTCTACTACAAATATCCACAAGGATGTCTGGAAAAATATTTGACTAAGCTTAGGAATAGGAATCTAGTACTTGAAACATAAGTAAACAGCCTTTTTCTAATTGGTTGACATATGGAATTTAACTTTGTATTGGGTAATAGTAGAAAATTTGCCTTCTAGAAAATTCTTTTTTTATTGTGGTAAAATAAACATAACATGAAATTTACCATTTCTTATTGCTATTTTTGCAAGACTACACTGGCTTGTCTGTTTATAGTCATACCAGGCTCTTTCTTGCCTCAGAACTTTACACTTGCTGTCCTCTTTTTTCTCAATAACCTTCCCCTAATCTTTGCAGGGCTAGCTCCTTTTAATCCTCCTGGTTTCACCTTAAATGTACTTTTTTTTTTAGATTTTATTTATTTATTTATTCATGAGAGACACACAGAGAGAGGCAGAGACATAGGCAGAGGGAGATACAGGACTCAATCCTAGGACCCGAGGATCATGACCTGAGCTGAAGGCAGATGCTCAACCACTGAGCCACCCACGTGTCCCTCACCTTAGATGTCTTCATCTCCAATGACCTTATCTGAAATAGGTGCCCCCACTCTGTTATTTTTATTATAATCCCTATCATAGCACTTAGTACAATTTTCATTTATTTATGTACATGTTATTTATTTTTTTCCTTTCAAAACTGCAAAAATTCATGTATGTAGTACACAGTTTTGTTCAAGATTGTTTTCATATTCCTAGCACAGTTCTCTGATGATTCTTAGATTAAACTGTAAATCTCCAAATAATACATTCAAACACATCAGGAATTCTTTCTGTTTCCTTTTCTAATTAGAGATGTCCTGCCTGGAGCTCCACCTTCTAGCTCTAACCCCGGGCAGATAACTCCTGAGGCCCCAGGCTTAGGACTTTTCTTCTAAGGATCCTCTGTTTTTCATCCCCAGTCTTGGATCCCTTTGTCTCCTGGACTTTAGTTTATACTTGTGTTTCGTCATACACATCTTCCAGTAGCTTTCTGAGAAAGAGTGTATGAGAGCTAACTTTTTTATACACTGCATTTTTGAAAATGTTTTCTATCTCCACATGGGTCTAGAATCCTAGTGGGAAATGCTTTGTCCTCAGAATTTCTTTTTTTTTTTTTTTTTTTTTTTTTTTTTTTTAAATTTTTTTTTTTTTTTTATTTATGACAGTCACAGAGAGAGAAGGAGAGAGAGGCAGAGACACAGGCAGATGGAGAAGCAGGCTCCATGCACCGGGAGCCCGACGCGGGACTCGATCCCGGGTCTCCAGGATCGCGCCCTGGGCCAAAGGCAGGCGCCAAACCGCTGCGCCACCCAGGGATCCCTGTCCTCAGAATTTCTAAGGGATGGCTCCATTGTCTTCTAGTTTTAGTTTGGTTAATGAGATGTTTGATGCCATTTTGCTTCTAGATTCTGTATGTTGTCTGGGTACTCCTGACTTTCCCTTTATAGAGATTTTTGAGCGTCATGTTTTCCTTTGATATTCTGAGAACCAACTGGAAAAGTGCCACAAAATGTAAGATAATTTAGTAAGGTGGCAGAAATTAACAAAAATGTAATGGGAAAAAAAGATGCCATTTATAAATCTAACACAGAAGATAAACTAGCCAGGAATTAATTTAACAAAGATACATAACTCACTCATCTTTTTTTTTTTAATGTTTTCTGGGTTTTATGTCTTGTTTAGAAATGCCTTTCCTTACAAAGTTACAATTTCCCCCATGTTTCCTTCTTACTTTATGGTTTACTTATAGTAAAATTGTTAATCTATCTAGAATTTATGTTAATATATGAAATCTGAAATGTAAGACTCCTTTTAGGGGGGGGATTATGTTTTATTTTGGTTTTTAAATATTTTATTATTTATTCATGAGAGAGAGGCAGAGAGACCTAGGCAGAGGGAGAAGCAGGCTCCATGCAGGGAGCCTGACGTGGGACTCGATCCTAGGACCCTGGAATCATGACCTGAACCAAAGGCAGACACTCAACCACTGAGCCATCCAAGTGCCCTTATGTTTTATTTTAAAGAGAAACGCTGAGATAAATCACTTGAACTTTATCAGATAGCATATGCTAAATTCCTGCCCTTAGCTAATAGGAGAAGACAAAAGCGACAGAATAGTTAGAATACGGGGAACTAACCAAAGCACCTATCAGACTGAGGCAAGTTTTCAAGTAAGACTAAATTTGAGATTATTATCCTGTCTTCAAGCACCAGACGTCACTCTGGTTTTCCTTCCATTTATTGTGAAGAGCTAAACACTCTCTTGTTTCCAAATTGTTTTTTACCCACCTAAAATGAAAAAATTTTGTTGGGCAGCCCAGGTGGCTCAGCAATTTAGTGCCGCCTTCAGCCCAGGGCGTGATCCTGGAGTCCTGGGATCGAGTGCCACGTCAGGCTCCCTGCATGGAGCCTGCTTCTCCCTCTGCTTGTGTCTCTGCCTCTCTCTATGTGTGTGTATGTGTCTCATGAATAAATAAAAATAAAATCTTTAAAAATTTTTGTCAAGAATCTTGAAACACCCTTTCAGTTATGAGAAGATAAAAGGAATATCTGGTGTGTTATTCCTGATTATCTGTAAATTATACTTGTTATGCATTTAAGATGTATGTGAACTTATAATAGCTTATAGCATATAGCAGATACTCATCAAGTATTTGCTAAATAAATGTAAGAGCATCTTCACATGGCCTGCCATTTAACAACAGGATGGCAATGATTGATTGCAACACAATGTGTTAGTGTGTGTGTGTGTGTGTGTGTGTGTATAAAATATCTCTGCCAAAGAGAGGAATCAGTATCAGTCCTGAGTGGTTAGCAAGTCAGTCAAGTCACCAAGTTCATTACAGCCCAAGTGTAAATAGAGGATAAATAAATGGTGGGTGATAAGTGATAATAGAGCACACACATCGTGCCAACACCAGAGAAAAGGAGCCCCCAAGCCTGCCAGGAAATGGCTATTTTCTTTTTTTTTTTTCAATGTTGTTTTTTTTTCTTCTTCTTCTTTTTTATGATAGTCACAGAGAGAGAGAGAGAGAGGCAGAGACATAGGCAGAGGGAGAAGCAGGCTCCATGCACCGGGAGCCTGACGTGGGATTCGATTCCGGGTCTCCAGGATCGCGCGCTGGGCCAAAGGCAGGCGCCAAACCGCTGCGCTACCCAGGGATCCCCCCTGGCTATTTTCAAAGGAGGTGATTGCTGAGAGCAGAAGGAAGAAAAGAAATTAGTTGCACTGAGGGGCACCTGAGTGGCTCAGTAGGTTAAGCGTCTGCCTTAGGTTCAGGTCATGATCCTGGAGTGCTGGGATCGAGCCCCACATCAGGTTCCCAGCTCAGAGTCTGCTTCTCCCTCTACCATTCCCACTCATGCTCTCTCTCTCAAATAAAATCTTTAACAAAAAATGAATTAATTGCACAGAGGTAGTGGTTGAAGGGAATGGGTAGAATTGACCAGGATAGAAGTATAAATACTCCAAGCCAAGGGAACAGCATGTACAAGGCCAATGGTGAGAGAGATTGCATAGAAAACAGACCTCAGGGCAACCCAGGTGGTTCAGCGGTTTAGCGCTGCCTTCAGCCCAGGGTGTGATCCGGGGATCGAGTCCCAGGTCAGGCTCCCTGCCTGGAGCCTGCTTCTCCATCTGCCTGTTCCTGCTTCTCTGTCTCTCATGAATAAATAAATAAAATCTTAAAAAAAAAAAAGAAAGAAAGACCTCAGAGATGTGGAGCTGGATAGAGAGGGTAAGGGGAAAGTGAGCCTGGGTCTTCATGGCCAATGTAAAGATTTGGACTTCATCCAATGGCCAGTGGGGTGCTATTGAAAGTTACAGTGCAGGTTTCAGAGGAGGTATAATCACATCTACATTCTGAAGAGATCACTCTGATGACAGGACCAAGAATGTAGGCCAAGGAAAAAGTTTGTGCCGTCATCTAGGAAGCAGGTTTCAGAGTCCCCAGGAGGCTGATGAGACTGAGTCTGCCTTGGCTAGAATATTCTCAGGGAGGAAGGAAAGAAGAGACAGTGGAGGAATCGTCCTACTCTGGCTTCCTCTCCTCACCAAGGTTGATCTGGGCGGAGAATCCTGGACATTAGCAGAGCAGGCTCAAGTGGCCCATGCCAGATTTCAGCTCTTCCCTCTTCATCATTATGGTATGGGCAGGGTGGGGCATGCCATAGTCTTCATGAAGTAATTGTCATTATTCTGTATTTAGTGCAAGAGACTGTACAGGCCCATAGTGATCTGGTGTTGGAAACAGTGCATGACAAAGGCAACATGGAGCAGGTCATCTCTGAGATACAGAAGAGATTTGAAGCTGTAAGTGTGGATCCCAACCTCTATCCTCAAGTATGTTTTTAGCTTTGACACTAAGACCCAGAGAGACACCTTTAAAGTTGCATTTTTTTTTAGCCAAGAATAGGAGCCAGATAGGTCCCTTGGTAATGGACCAGGGCAGAGGCTAACTTCCTCCTCCAAGGTTCCCTGGCATCATGTGGACCCAAAAGGCTCTGCTCCAGAATGCTGCCATCCTTCCTCTGTAAAGCACCCAGCAAGGGACAAGCTTTGGTTCTGCTAGCACATCCTTTGGTTAGTTTGCACATTTCATTGTGTGTTCTGAGTTGCAGGGTCCCTAACTCTTTTCTCACGTCTTTCCCTAGAGACAAGCAGAATTTATAGAAATGAAATCTGACCTGAAGCACCTTGAAGTTTTAGTTGCCCAGCAGAGTAAGGACTTCCAGCAGCTGTGTGAGCAGCTAGGCCAGCTGAATGTGGCCAGTGTCCTAGCAGAGCTGAAGAGATTGATTTCAGTCCCTTGGGTACTGGGGCATGTGAAAGACAGCACTTCCCAGACCTCACCACCTCTGGCCCAGAGTCTCAATTTCACCAGGCACGACAGATATGCTTCTGAAGAACCAGTTATGTGGCAGGCTCAGGCCCTCCCTGGTACATGGAATCTGAATATGGGCTCCCTGCAGCCTGGAGAGTTTCGTGTCCTAAGTGAGGGAGCAAAAAGTGATACTCTCCAAGAAGAGACTTCACTGATGGCAGCTGGAACCAGCAAAAGAAACAGGCAAGGAAAGGACAAGGCAGTGCAGACCAACTGCGAGAACCGGACTCTGACTAAAACCAGTTCTGAGTACCATGGCTCTGGTTTCCCAGGCTGCAAAGTTCCTGGTGATAGGGACTGGGTTTCCCAAAGAGCCTCAAGGCTTATACCCCTGGACTTAAACAACTTTGAAACCTGCATTAAGAACACCTGCCAAAAATGTCAAGGTGTGTTTCCGTGTGACCTTTGTGAACAAAAGTTGAGGGCTGCACAGAAATGCAAAACTGTGGAAAGAGGGGGGAAAGGCAAGAAACAGCAGCCCAGGAAATCCCACAGAGGCAGGCTCCTAGCCAGGAAACAAGAACAAACCCCTAGCAAAAACTGTGCTGTCATTTCTAAATATCCTCAGCCTCCAGTTTCTGGCCCAGAAAGGTCCCCCCTGGAGCAGCAGGAGCCCCTTGCTCAGCCCCTGCATTTGTGGGACCCCAGGAGCCCCACAAAGCTAGTCAGCCCTGTTCTGGCAGGAACAGTCATGCCCTGTAAGACAATGAGAGCAGCGAAAAGGAATATCTTACAGCTCAGTGGGTGTTCTTCCCTAGACAACAGCCTACTCTCTAACAGTTCCCACGGGGACCACCATATGAGTTGGTTCAGTGACCTCAACCTTGGAAGTTCAGAGCGCCCTCTGAGCAAGGAGCCAGGGAAGAATATGCTCTATGATCTGGGTTTTGATAGCAGTGATGATGGCTTCTGACCAGCCCACATAATGGCTTTAGCTGATAGTTTATTGGTCTCAGCTGGAAAGACAAATTATAGCACACTGGGGCTGGCTAGCGGCAGAAAGTCCCTGGAGCCTGACGAGCCCTCAGGCTCAGAGGCCCTGCTGGGGGGGGGGGGGGTCAGTGCAGGATGGGTGCAAGGCCAGGGGAGCAAATCTGGCATTCTAGATACCAGCTGCTACCCATGGCAAGTTTAAGAAATAAGTGCATCCTTATTTGTTGAAATGAAGTGTGTGAAGACAGTGGTGATGAGCTGGAGCAGCAGCCTGGGTGTAGGGCATCAGGTGGAAGGTGCTGTTTTTGATGAAAGGAGGGCTATTGAGTGGCAGAAGGGCTCTCACAGAACTGTTGCTGTGGCAGCATGACTCCCAAACACAACATTTTTGGTCTTCACAGTACTTCCTACACATAACTGATACCTTTCCAGGCCTCAGTATATTTTTATTATGATTTTTATTCAGTTTTACTGTCAGAGTGCTTGCATTTTTTGATCAGTGGAAGTATTACAGGATACACTAAGTCTACCTTATTGTGAACAGAGAAATAGAGAATGTTAAGCTGTCAATGAAAAAGAGGTGACATGGACCCAACAGATGCCCAGAGTGGCGCTGTCTACAAGCTGCACAATTCTGCCCTTCTTGTTTTTCCCCATCCTATTTTCAATCATTCTTCAAGCTAATGAGAGCATCTAAGGGTCCAATAATATTTCTGGAGAGCAATGGGCTTATTATGAGACTTTGGCTTTCTATCTTGCAGTTTTGAGTTTTTGTTATATATTTATTTTGTAACAAAAAATAAAATATATGAAACATTTAAAAGCATATTTTTTGGGGGGTGCCTGGGTGGCTCAGGCATCCGACTCTTGAGTTCAGCTCAGGTCATGATCTCAGGATCCTGGGATCAAGCAAGCTCTGCATGTAGCTCTGCATTGAGTGTAGAGCCTGCTTAAGATTCTCTCTTCTCAAAAAAAAAAAAAAAAAGATTCTCTCTTCTCCCTTTGCCCCTCCCCTCACTCATGCTCGTGTGCTCTCTTAAAAAAAAAAAAAAAAACACAGAAAACCCAAAAAACTTAAAAGCATATTTTTTCATTAAATTTATTGATCTCCCATCAACTTAATTAAGAGAATCTAATAGAGGGACGCCTGGGTGGCTCATTGGTTGAGCATCTGCCTTCAGCTCAGGGCCTGATCCTGGGGTCCAGGAAGCGAGTCCCTCATTGGGCTCCCATACAGGGAGCCTGCTTCTCCCTCTGCCTGTGTCTCTGCCTCTCTGTGTCTCTCATGAATAAATAAATAGTTTTAAAAAGGTCAAATAGATAAGATACATACCTTCTTTTTATTCCATAGGCTCCTCCCAAGATGATTATGAATAAACAACACCTTACTCAGACTGAATTCTCTTCCTGTATTGTTTTAAAGTAAAAATCCTCACTGGATGGATGGCTTCCAGAATCTGCCCATTTTCTTTTTTTATATATTCTTTATTTAAATTCAATTTAGGGGCAGCCCTGGTGGCGCAGTGGTTTGGCGCCACCTGCAGCCGGGGGGTGTGATCCTGGAGACCTGGGATCGAGTCCCACATCAGGCTCCCTGCGTGGAGCCTGCTTCTCCCTCTGCCTGTGTCTCTGCCTCTTTCCCTCTGTGTCTATGAATAAATAAAATATTTTTAAAAATTCAATTTAGGTAACATATACTGTATTATTATTTTCAGGGGTGAAATTCAGTGACTCATCAGTTGCATAAATACCCGGTGCTCATTATATCCTGTGGCCTCCTCAATGTCCATCACCCAGTTATCCCATCCCCCCACCTCCTCCCTTCCAGCGACCTTCAGTTTGGTTCCTAGAGTTAAGTGTCTCTTATGGCTTGTCTCTCTCTCTCTGGTCTCCTCTTATTTTTCCTTCCCTTCCCCTATGACATCTGTTTTGTTTCTTAAATTCCATATGTGAGTGAGATCATATGATATCTTTCCCTGACTGACTTATTGTGCTTAACATAATACCCCCTAGTTCCATCCATGATGTTACCCATTTTCAAGGCACTACAGTAAATGACGATGGGGCCTCTGAGTGGACCATTATAGAAAGCAATGGTTCTTGATCTTTACTTATTTTTACATTCTTTATTTTCAAGGGTGTGTATCCCACAAAAGTCTGAGTTTAATTGTCCTTCGACACCTTTGCAGGGATACTGGGCACCAGCCTAAGCTGCTCTTACCCCCGTTTCCAGACCAAGGGCCTCCTGTGGCCTGTAGCTGGCAGCCACAGGCAACGGCAACAGCCCTTTCCAAGGCCAAGGAAGCACAGACTTGGCCTCTGCCTCAGGCTTCCCTGGCTTTTCTCCCTGTGAGCCTCACTGGATGTGTTTATCCTGCCCTCTGCCAACTTCTACTTGCCCTCCCTACTGGTTTTGTCTCCTTGTGCAAGGAGGCATGGGAAGAAGGGGTCCAGCTAGGTTCCTTCTAGCCCTTCTCACACTGACTACAGGTGGCTGTTGAGTGGTTAGCATGAGACCTGAGGACCACAGGGGTTTGTATCTGGAAATATCTTATTACTCTAAGTTGAAAAGTTTAATCATTTTTTTAAATTTTTATTTATTTATGATAGTCACAGAGAGAGAGAGAGGCAGAGACACAGGCAGAGGGAGAAGCAGGCTCCATGCACCGGGAGCCCAATGTGGGATTCGATCCCGGATCTCCAGGATCGCGCCCTGGGCCAAAGGCAGGCGCCAAACCACTGCGCCACCCAGGGATCCCAAGTTTAATCATTTTAACTCAAAGTTGAGACCCTGTTGAGAGAACTCCATTAATATTTATGACTGCGGCCTTCTCATTGAAGGTTCTGTCCAGTTTTGAAATGCCAAAGCAGGACCCTCTGTTCTGATTCTGCTGTTATGAAATCCTGTATTTCTTCAGAAGTATTTCTTTTTGTGTTATGAAGTCAAAGATCAGAGTGACTCAGTGTTCCATGAGCTGGATGTTTTTGTAGAATGAGCAGTAAATTTATCTCCTAACAAGGCTGGGTTAATTAAAATTACACTGTCTCTGGTAATCATCAAGAAAGGATATTCTGTTTCTTATTTTATTCCTAAGACTTTTTTTTTTTGAAACTACTGAGTACTTGCCAGATTTGGTGAGCGTGACATAGCTCAGGCACATTCCCAGGGCACACAACGTTTTTGGCTGTCTGGATGCTGACAGAGATGTGGCCACACAGGGGCAGATGTGGGGGGGGGGGGAGCAGGGGGCAAGTGTCAGTGGACCTAGGGCCCAGAGAGCCACCTAGGGGCTCCTCTGCCTGTTCATGACCCCAGCTACATTGGAGGAGGGGAATAAAGCCAACCACAGCACCTGTCTTGACATTCAAGTGTCAATTTAAATGTCACCTACAGAAAAGCCTTTTGTGACCTCTTCTATAGGAGCTTGCCCTATTCACTGCCCATGCCCTTACCCTGTTTTAATTTTGTCCTACAGCTCCATCTGGAGTGGTGTACTGATGTGTATACTTCTGTTTTATCTGCCTTGCTGGATAGGATATAAACTTCAAAAGCAAGAGCAGTATCTGCCTCATCCCTGCTGTATCCTCAGCATCCAGGAGAATGTCTGACACTAATAGACATTTGACAAATACCAAGGGCAGGGATTTCTCACTCATCATTTGAACAGCCCTATCGCAAAGTCCAGTCTTTCTGGCAAGCGTTTGCATTTTGTCTCAGAAGTTCCAAAGGGCTCCTGATGAGGAGTCTCCTGCATAAGCCCTCTTCTCTCCCAGGCCAGGTGCCAGCAACCCCTCTCTACCCAAAGTACCCAGAAAACAATAGCTTTTCTGCCTTTAAAAAGATAGTTGCTTCCTACAAGGATTGAACAGTTTTGAAAAATTTTTCACACCAGGGCTTAGGCCAAAACTCTTCATCAAATCAGGCATCTTCTAGCCAGCCGAGCACAGACAGTCCTTCCCCACTAGGGCTGGGATCCATCGTCAAGTAGATTTCCTAAGCAAAACTTTGTCTACTCTATAAATATTTAGCTAGAACTTAAAATATTAACATTCTTCCACATGTTCCAGGGAGAAAGCAAATTGCCAGAGCCTCAGACAGTCTTGGGATGAAAGCCTTTTCAATAATGATCTACAATCAGATGTGGCGGCCTCCCTTGTTTGCATGCCTTATTCACTGGTCACTGCCATGGTAAATGTTTTGTGCTTCTGTTAGCAGTAGCACTCTGGTACCAGGTGAGCCCCCAGCCTGGCCATTCAGGAAGAGGGAGACTGGCCTGAATCAGGCCTCTTTTGCAAATCCTCTTCCTCAATTTCATTGATCACTAATAGCTCAGAACTCCTCTAGTGGGAGGATGGTGATGCTTCCTTATCAGCACATTCCGGGGTGCACAGGGACACATGCGCCCAGGTTGTCTGCTGCCTTTTGCCTGTCTCCTGACCCCCTTGCAGTTTTCCCTGGGATTAGAAGTAGAGGGTCCAAGGAGGCAGGGCAGGTGGGCCAGGAGGTGGCTCCCTTATTTCCCCAGTGAGGGGGAGCAGGAGGCAGGCTGAGGGGAGCCCAGAGACCCAGAGATGAGAGGGCAGGCCCCGGTGCCTGATTGCACTGGCTGGAGCCACACAGAAGCAGAGGCATACTAACTGTAAGTGCCCCCAGACCTCACTTCGCATGATTTCAGACTCTAGACCCGTGTGGCTAGATAGCCATGCCCAGGAATGTGAACATGGCAATCTGGATGAGGCTGAAGGCAGGGGCAACATGTCCAGGCCATGGCCATCCTTGAATTGTCCTTTTGAAAGAATTGTTGCTCAGCTCTCAGGCCTCAGCTGTGGCTCTCTGCTCTTTGCTGACCTTCACTCAACCACTGGCTCACCTCTCTCCTTTCTCTTATCCCTTCTTCCTCAGCCTTCCCTGCCTGCCCTCCAGCAGGTCCTAGGAGCTTCTACGGACCATCTCCTGCCTTACAAAGTCTTGCCAGCCTGCATATAGAGCTGGTTTCTAGTGGCTAGGGCATGGACACTGGTGGGATGCAGCCAGGGGACCTGGAGACCTCTTAACAGGGCTGGATGGGCCCTGCTTCTCACGTGCCTTGTGCTGTGGTTTGAATTTGCAGTTTGTGATGAGCAGGTTCCAAAGCTCCTATTTATTCTTGAGGTTGCCTTGTTACTATTTTGATTCTGCTAATCCAAATCAGTTTGGTGTTTCCATGGAAACAATTCAGTGATTGTTTGGTTTGCCAAGATGAGCTGCGGGGGAGAGAACCAAATGACGTAAAACATTTTTAGTTTCTCAAATATGACTATCATTGTCTCCCCAAGAAGCCTTTGGTCCCAGTCCCCTGAAAACCTGAGGAAGTTTTATTAAAATAAATGTTTTAGACTCTTGTTCCCCTTCTAGCTAAGTCCCTGGAAACCCACTGCCCCAAACCCCTGCCCCGCTGTATATAGATGAGCATACATCTGCCCAGTAAAGCAGATGACAAAGGCAGGAACGTCTCCTTGGAGCACCTCAGGGAGCCAGAGATGCAGACAGGAGTCCATATCAGCAGGGAAATGACCATATGGCTATTCCTGTTAATCTGGGACTGGAGAGCCAGAGGTTCAGGGCTAACCTGCTTAAACTGGATGCTGTGTTTCTACAGTGAGGAATAGCTCCTCATTCGAGGATCCCAGGATGAGTTACCCCTCTGGTAAAGACTTAACTAAAGCAGTAATATATCTGTCTGTCCAGCCAGGTAGTGCCAGGTCCCTCCCCCATGCTGACCCTTGTTCTCAAGGCTCACAGTCTTCTCTATGGGCAGAAATAATCCTCTCAGTTTTCTAGGGTTAGGGTTAGGCCCCCATTCCCAGCACCCACTTCCTGTGCAAAGACCCTGGGGGAGCGTGAATGGAACGTTGAAGAAGGAGCTGCAGACCTAGAGCTTCCAGTCCCTAGGACCCAGCATCCTCAAGGTCAAGGTCCTGTGAGTCCTCCCATTGTGGGTCTGGCCTCTGCCCCAGTTTCTGGGGACTGTGAAGGTCAGCTCTGGGCAATTAGCTGGGGAGGAATACCCATGGCTGGTTGGTGTAGATGAGGGCTTTAAGAAGCCATATATATGTGTGTATACACACACACATATATATGTATATACACACACACACAGCAGATGAATTAGAAAATATGGACAAGGGAAAAAAAGACAAACTCCCTTGTTCTTCCAAAACGATCTCCTGTATACACTGTTCTCACATACACACATCTGTACAAACTGGAGATCAAGTGCACTTTTAAAAAACAAATACACTTTACATTTTGGAATAACTTTTAGATTTATAGGAAGGGTTGAGATGACAGTTTGTATCTACCCTTCACTCAACTTCCCCTAATCTTACATAACTGAGGCATATTAGTCAAAGCTAAGAAACATAAATACATGAACTCTAGCCTTTATTTAGACTTCACCAGTTTTTCCATTGTCTTCTGTTCCAGGATACAATCCAGACTACCACAGCGAGATTTAGTCAGTGTGTCTCCTTAGTCAATGTGTCTGTGACAGGTTTTGAGTCTTTGTTCTTCATGCCCTTGACAGTCTGGAGTGCTGGCCAGGCATCCTGCAGAATGCCCCCCAGTCTGGGTTTGTCTAACATTTAGTTTATGATTAGACCAGGGAGATGGGGTCCTGGTAAGAACTCAACAGAGGTAGAAGCACCCTTCCCATTGCTCCCTATCATTGATGGGGTTCACCTTTATTTGCTTAGGTGCTATCAGGCTTCCCCATAGAAATCTACTTTTTCTTTTCGCTGCTCTGGTCCTTGGAAGTGAGTTACTGAGTCTAGCCTGGCCTCAAGGGGTGATGAAGGGATTGAGGTTGGATTAAGCTCTACCATCTCTATGGGAGACTATCCACATCAACACTTATTATTCGAGCCCTGGCTTTTCTGGATATCAAGTAGACCCCTAGCATGCACATAGCCATTCTTCGTCTGAGCAGAGCAACCCAGGATGCTGTGAGCATTTCTTCTCATTTGCTCTGGTTCTTCCTGTTAAGAAAGAAGAAAATGATCCCCCACTCCACAGACTGCAAGTGCTTACTGAGGGTGTCCCCCAACCCCTGTGCAGGGACCACAGGGACTGAATGTCAGGTGACCAGGGAGAAGCCTCTGGTTAATCTGGCCCTGCCCTCTGCCTCAGGCAGGGCGACGGTGGCGGCTGCCTTGGCAGGGGAGGTCCATTTCAGGGGAGGCCTACCTCGTAAGTGGCCACTCCACTGAAGGGTGGGTGTGCAGTCTCCACCTGAGAGCCTTCAGGAATCACCAGGCCTGTGTCACTGGCTTTGCAGCCTGCCCTGTGCTGAGGTCCATAGCCTGAAAAACGACCTGGCAAGGGGGCCCCTTGGCCACTGGGCTTTCCTTCCCAGTTCTTTGGGTCTTACAAATAGCCCCTGTGCTAGCCTCCTCACCGCCCCTGCCGTCCTCCCCATGTGAGCCCAGAAGGCAGGCACTTCTCTGAGACTCCGTTTCTGCAAGGCCATCAAAACTTGCCTGATAGCTTATGTTTCCTGAAAGAGCATCATGGGTCTGAGGGGCACCTGGGTGGCTCAGTCAGTGAAGTGTCTGCCCTTAGCTGAGGTCATGATCTCAGGGTGCTGGAATTAAGCCCTGTTCAGGGGTGGGGGCTTTTCCTCCCTCCTCCCCTTTGCCCCTCCCCCCAACTCATGCACACACCTTCTTTCTCTCAAATAAAATCTTTAAAAAAAAGCCACCAAAGAACATCATGGTTTTGAGACATTTGTCAAAATAATTTCTGAGAAAAAAAATAATTTCTGAGGATGTTCTTATCATTTCTGTCCAGAGTTACGGCGGGAGCAGCCCTGGTAGGCTTTTGCTGCTGTTGCTGACCTCAGGCAGCTCCCTCACTCCTGCCCATCTTGCCCTAGCAGGGTCAATGCCACTGGAACTACCTATGGCTTCCCGGGTCTCCAGGCCTAGAGTGGGATGCATGAGAGCTCAGGCATGAAGGTAGATGGGCAGGACCTGTATTTCCCTTTTCCTCCCACTGCCCTTGGCTGGGGGCCCAGGTGTCTGATGTGAGGGATGGTGGCAAGGAGGCCTTCAAGCTACGCAGGGTCAGGGTTAGGGGTGCTGAGGGGAGATTGGTCTGGAAATGAGGAGGGTATGGCCCTCCTTGCAGACAACAGGCAGCCCTGTGTGCAAAGTGAGCAAGGATAGGAGGGTTTGAGGCCATAGTCTGTGCTGGCCTAGGATGGGCTGGTCCCAGGGGGTACACAAAGCCCACCCTGACTGTGGTCCCAGTACTTCTTCAGGGACCCATGGAAAAGAACACCAGGAGACACAGCAGAGGCCCATGGCCAGCACCCACCTTGGGTAAGGGTTGTATTAAACATCAAAAAACACATTTGAGATGCCAAGAAAAGTGAAAAAAAAAAAAAAACTACAGTAAGAAACATTTCAAAGCAACAGAATAAAAAAATTGGGCTTTCAGCTCAAGAAGGGACACAAGTGGAAGTTAAAGAAGGTGTGGTAACTCAGATCCTACCAGCCACTTGGCAGTGGCCCCCAGTGACACTGATCACTGTCTGAATGGCAGCCTCCTGCTAGAAAGAACCAAAGCTCCAGTCAACTGTCCTTACTCAATTTGGTATTTGAAAGAGGTCATCAAATTGTAGTCCTCTTCCAAGTCTAGCACAGTCTCAACAATATTGTGATCATCAAAAGCCTGCTTGAGGCTGCCGGGGTCAGTATCCGAGGCCTTCTGAGGGCTCTCGTCCACGAGCAAGGCCCAGGCTTCCTCCCTGAAGGGCGAGTCTTCACAACGACTGCACACACGGTTCAGCTCATTTTCAAATTCTAGTTTCCCAGCCAACTCTTCAATAGTTCGGATGCTTGTGTGGTCTTTAAAATAAGAACGTTCAGCATTACAATTCCAGTGAGAGGTTTCAGAAGACAGGTCAGGCACAAGTTAAAACCCACATAGGGTGGCCACTCTTCAGAGACTTTGGGACAGGCAGGCTCCCAGGCTGAGTGCCAAATTCTAAGGTGCCCTCACGTCTAGTCCCAGAATTATTGAGCTCAGCTACCTGCCAGTCCCCAAGGAAAGTGGAAGTGGAAGACTATAGAGATATACAGGCTTGTCTTGAATCTTAGGGAACAAGATTCATGACAAGCCATGACACATGACACCTGACAAGACATAGTGTGAAAACAATGGAGTCTTTAGGGGAATCAAAATGCTGCCCCCGCTGGCAAGGACTATGGAAGATGGTGAGTGGAGAGAGATGCCCTTCAGCTTTCCTCCTGAGGCTGAGGCTGAGGCTATTGGAAAAGACTCCAGCCACTCCCATAGTAGCCTGGCAGGTGTCTTATTCTGTGGCCTCAGGGGAGTGACTCCTCCCACCATTCCTCCCTTTCATCCCCTATAACCTAGAGGCCCTTGCAGAGCCAACAGCTTCAGGCTGTTTATCTAATGTGCAGCGTGAGTCATTTGAAGAAAAAGAAAAACATACAAAAAATAAATAAAAATAAAAACAGGGCATATATAGTTCGCCTACAGAATGTACAGATGTGTAGGAAAAAAACCTCTGGCAGGGTATACACTGTTAACAGTGGCTTTCTCTGGGTGCTGGAATTACAGGGGAACTTTGGGCTTCTAACTTTTCTTCTAATCTTTTTTTTTTTTTTAAAGATTTATTTATTTATTATAGACATAGAGAGAGAGGCAGAGACAAGGAGGAGGGAGAAGCAGGCTCCATGCAGGAGCCTGACGTGGGACTCGATCCCAGGTCTCCAGGATCACGCCCTGGGCTGCAGGCGGCGCTAAACTGTTGCGCCACCAGGGGCTGCCCCTTTTCTTCTAATCTTGTATTATCTACCCAAGCTGAACCACCACCCACTCACCCCATCTTTGCCTATGTCCTGTCTCCAGATCTAACTCAACCAACTCCTGGTGAACCACTGTCCCTTACATCCAAGGATTCACTGTAAGTAGACATTTATGAAATGACCTGAATCACGTGTGTCTCCATCATGCTATTGGTTCCATGACGGTGCTATGCACACCTGCCCTCGGCAAAACAAATCTACCATGTAGACAGATGAGAACTAAGAGAGTGTTTTTTTTTTTGTTTTTTTTTAAAGACATCTGCTGACTCAAGAGCCCATGTGAAGGACCTATTCTCCCAAGGAGAGGACAGGTCTGGCCTCTGTACTCACCGATCATATCAAGCAGATCTTTTGTGACCTCTTGGCTAGAATTGCTGAGTGGCATGTCTGAGTCAACCTTCAAATCTTTCTCCATATCTTTCCTGTAGCCCCCAGGTGGGGAAAAAAAAAAAAAGAAGGTGGAGAGTTAGAGTCTCTTTCAATAAAGTATTGTAGGGAACTCAATGTTAATCTTAAAAACAAAAACATACTGGTAACTTTAAATTGACTCTTGTGCTGTGATTAGAGCAGACAACTGGAAACTGCTAAATCAGGTAAGTTGACTAGTAGCATCATCCTCAGGACTCATGAGCATCACTAAGGGCGCATTCATGCCTATGAATTTGTTAGAATTGAACCAAGTAAATGGCTTCTTCCTTCTCTGCCTCCAGGGCAGCCAAGATGGCAGGACCTTGAAATTCCAACCCACATGGTCACCTTTGCTCCAAAGGTGCCTAGAACCAGGCAGTTTAAACCGAGTAGGAAGAGGGGCACCTGGCTGGTTCAGTCAGAAGAGCATGTGACTCTTGGCCTTGGGGTGATGAGTTTGATACCACAGTGGATGTAGAAATTATATAAATAAACAAACTTGAAAGTTATCAGGGAGAAAAAAGGTCTAGGGGAGATCTTAACCCAGGGATGGTCTAAAACCTCATCGGGTGGGATGGGGGTGAAGGGAGAAGGATGAAAGTAGGGCCAAGCCCTCCCATCCGTCTGGCCTCTCCCTAGTATGCACATTGGAATTAAGGTCTTTGTTTCTGCAGCATAAAAAATGAAGTGACTTAGAAATCAGGTTCTCTAACATTCACTACCCCACTGGGAACTGCAAAGTGATTTCTGGGAATGGTCTGACAGTCCTCAAGGGGAGGCAGAAGCAATGCTACAGACTCAATTTAGGAACTTCAAAATGTTCAGGAGTCCCCTCCTAACTTTTTACAGTCAAATTGGAATCACCTTAGGCTGTCTTTTCTCCAGTTCTCCCCATCTCCCACGGCTCTCCAAAACTGTCTTTCGGGTGCCAAAATGGAAGAGTGCATCAATACGTTTTCCTTACTGGTCAGAGGTTTTCTTTTCGGGCATAAAGCATGTGGCTTTGCATTCATTGGGGCAAGGTTTGGAGCAAAGGCAGGGCTCTCGTTCTCAGGAGCACACGGGACTGGGATGAAAGGAGCTGCGGAGGAGGAGCAGGCTGACAGCGGGTGCCTCCTGCAGAGAAGCCGGTGCACAGGGAGGGGGGAGGGCGGCACGGCGGCGTCCAGCTCCAGCCTCTGCCGGCCAGAGCATTCCTGGGAATGACTGACGCCTTCAAAGGCCCGGTCAATGGCCGCAGTCAGCTCCTTTCTGCATCTTCTCAGTTTTTCAGACATTTCCCCTAAAAGCGACCACGTCTTTATTATGTAATACATTGGAAATACACAGAGCAAAACGAGAATAACGTTACAGACTAAGTTGTAAACCACCCCCGAAAGACGCATGTCCCAGAGCTCGATCCATGCCACAGGCCAGTGGCTAGAGGTACCCCCACTACGGGCGCCTTCCTCCCAGGTGGCGGGTGTAGCCCGCGGTTCTCTGGGAGGAACCTGCGACCGGGAGGGAGCCCCAGGGACGCCGGCCCCGCCTCCCCGGGCTCGGGCCCGCCCGCCCCGCCCGCCCCAGCCGAAGCCCGGCCTTGTGTGCAGCCCCCTCGGCCCTCGCCAGCAGCCCGCAGGCGGCCACGTCTGCAGCGGCGTCCTCACCCGGCAGTGTGGCCACACTGCCACCCCCGCCAACGGTCGCTGCGCGCGCCCCGGCCTATCACGCGCTCAAGAATGGCGCTCCCTGATCCCCACCCTGCCAAGGTTAAAGGTCAGATAAGAATGCCCAGAGCGACCACACCACCCCGTTAAAACCCACGCGGCCCGGCCGGAACGGAAGCCCGTCCCCTACCCCCACCCCTCCCAGCGAGGGAGGCGGCAGGGACCCGTTGGACAGCGGGTGGGGGTGGGGGCAGCCAGGGCGGGTGGGGGGGGGGCTGGCCGCCCAGAAAGCTGCCGGTGGGGCGGGGATCTCACTTCTTACCAAAGTGGGCAAGAAGGGAAAGGTTCCCATTCTCAAGCCAATGTGGAGAGAAACTGGATGGGCTACTGTACCCAGAAGTTTTGTACACCAACTTCTTTTAAGTGGTATGTAATAAAAGCTCCACACCATATTCAACAGTCAATTAATTCATCAAAGATGGTGAGGGACATAACAGAACTGCTAAGTTCCACATGAGATTGAGGGGCAGGAGACCCCAACACCAAATATCTTCATTTCATTAGGGGAGAGAAAGATGGAAATTCCAAGATGGCTCAAAGGGAAACAGAAACAGGCTTCAGGGACTAATTCTGTGGGAATTATAAACCCATTTCAGTGCACAGCAAGGGAGAAGGGGATATCAAGTGAACTTGAGGCTTGGTTTACTGTGGGTAGACTGCTGGGGTGACCAGGAACCAGCACCAGAGTAAGAAATCCAGGAACTCAGGGCAGCCTGCTGTAGGTCTTCATGGCCACCATCCTCAATTACAGTGTTCCTTTCCATTCTTTGGAATTCATCGGCCTTACTCCACTGTGTAGCCCCCCCCACCCCAACCCCCACATTCCAGCTCTACAGGTCTTACAGAAACTTCTCACCACCTGTGTAAAAAGAAAATAATTCAGCCTCTTGACATAACCCTTCTGAGCAAACATGGTCTTTTTTTTTTTTTTCTTCTGCTCATAAAAGAAGGGGATTTCCTCATCTGGTTTTTAGACCAAACACTAGTAGTCTTCAGGGTGTCAAAGATGTTCTCCTGGGGGATTACACTGGTGCTGTGGGGCGGCAGGGTCTTGGAGGCAGCATCAGTTGGTGTCCATGCTGCAAGCCTCATCGTCCCCCATGCCCTGCTGTGAGCTGCTTGGGCTTGTCCCTCCTTCAGAGGATCCAGGAAAACTAGCAAGTGAAGGCGTCTTATAAAATTCATCATCTCGACGTTGGTAAAAGAGCACATAAGCTGCTTTTGTCTATAACACAAGAGGGGAAAAGTTCATTCACTGGTTGGAATTACCATCCACTCTCCCTGGCTTTTCTCTCACTGTTCAAAACCCACTCTCAGAGTTTTGCCATCTTGCCCTGTGCACTCAGACAGAGGCAACAAGGAAGGAGACCCTGCTCAGAGAGTGGGGAAAGGCCGGTACCCTGTGACAGAACCCAGAGAAGAACCTAGCTTCTCATTTAGGAAGGGTCCTGGAAGGAATGGCAGTCAACTCTCTACCACACCCAGCTTCCATCGTCACATCAGGATGACCAAATAACCAACTAGCCCAGGAGGCTCTTCCCAGCTTTAATCCATCATCAAGGTAAGAGGAGGAGCCAAGTATTAGAGCCTACTCACCACTATCTGATCTTCAGAGGCCAGGGATACATTGCTATCATCAAAATAATACCATTTCCCGTTCAGTTTGTTCTTCGCATACGCAGTATCTGCCAAGTCAACAAAGAAAATACCTCTAGCAATCACCAGAGAACTAATCTGGCTAGTTTATTAGACTTGCACTAAACAATAAAACTCTAAAAAAACAAAACATAGGCCCTGAAATTAAGAATAATTTACAGGGCAGGCCCGGTGGCGCAGCGGTTTAGCGCCGCCTGCAGCCCAGGGTGTGATCCTGGAGACCCGGGATCGAGTCCCACGTGGGGCTCCCTGCATGGAGCCTGCTTCTCCCTCTGCCTGTATCTCTGCCTCTCTCTCTCTGTGTGTCTCTCATGAATAAATAAATAAAATCTTAAAAAAAAAGAATAATTTATAAATACAACCAAGATAACTAATTTTTTTTTTTTTGAAATCTGTTCTTTCTTGAAAAGAGTAAAAATGGGGCACCTGGGTGGCTCAGTTGGTTAAAGCATCTGACTCTTGATTTCAGTTCAGGTCATGATCTCAGAGTTATGAGTTCAAGCCCTGCATCAGGTTCCATGCTGGGTATGAAGCCTGCCTAGGATTCTCTTTTTTCCTCCCATCTCTTTCTCCCCTCCCACTCTTTAAAAAAAAAAAAAAAGGCAAAAATGGAGTTGTCACAGACCAAGGCTTTTTAAACTGTAATTTTGGGAAACTAATCAAACAGAGAAATCAGTATCAATCTTCAGGATGGCTATAAGTAATAATCCAGAGCCAAGGACCCATAAAAGCTGATGAAGTTTAAGATTTAAGCAAAATGGCTTTCTTTTTTTTTTTTTTTTTAAATTTTTTAATTTATTTATTTATGATAGTCACAGAGAGAGAGAGAGGCAGAGACACAGGCAGAGGGAGAAGCAGGCTCCATGCACCGGGAGCCCGACGTGGGATTCGATCCCGGGTCTCCAGGATCGTACCCTGAGCCAAAGGCAGGCGCCAAACCGCTGCGCCACCCAGGGATCCGCAAAATGGCTTTCAAAAGAACAGACCAAATCAAACTCCACTTGGTCCAGGCAGATGGCTACTACTGCCTCTTCCTGCCTCCAGAGCCTCTGGGGTAATCCCAGTGAGGGATACACTGGGCATTCAGGCTTGCAGAGCTGGGATGTGAACAAGATGGCTTAAATTTTATCTTTCTCTGAGAATCAAAGTCTGTGGCTGGGTAACAGTTCCTCACAGTGGTCCAAGCCTTCCCCACAGCCAACACTTTCTATCTTGATTTTATACTATTTTCCAGCAGGATGTTTGTAAAATGCAATCCCAGCAGCAATGAGTAATTCCTTGCCCACCCCACCCTCTACCCCAGACTCTACAAAATGACTCTAATGGAGAACTGGCTGTTAGTCTCCACCTGCTGCGTGACGCTGGGCCAGCCATTTAACTCTCCAGTGAGGACTAGAGCGCCTACTGCAGGGATGAAGAACACAGGAAAAGGTGCCAAGGACCTGTCCCTACATTTGGCATTACAGTAATAATGGTGGCTCTCAATCCTGGAGTTCCAACTGTGGACCTAATGTGGGTCCTCAGGCAACCAGCCTGATCTCATGAATGAGAGAGAACACTGAAGGATATGGAGGCTAAGGAACTTGCCCAAGTGATATGTTTATATACTAAAACTTTTATTTTTATTTTTTTTAAATTTATTTATTTATTCATGAGAATACACAGAGAGGAGAGAGAAGCAGAGACACAGGCAGAGGGAGATGCAGGCTCCATACAGGGCGCCTGATGTGGGACTTGATCCTGGGTCTCCAGGATCACACCCTGGGCTGAAGGCGGCACTAAACCACTGAGCCACTAGGGCTGCCCTATATTAAAACTTTTAAAAGTTATTTCATTTGGCATGCATGAACACAGATCCCAAAATTAATTCTGGAAAATTAATTTTTCTGGAAAAAAGCTGCATTAAGTGCTGCAGGGTATGATGTGATGAGGGATCACCAATAGCCATTCTAGGAGAGCCCCAACTTTCAAACAGGCACAATTTTATTTCCTAGCCTCTCCTAAAGCTACATGTAACCACGTGCCCAGTTACAAGCTAATGAAATGTCCACAGAAGAGCTGAGGGGTACTTCTAGGAGGCTGCCTTAAAGGGGAAGGCTGCTCCCATTTTTCTCTTCTTCTGAAAGCGTGTAGACATGAGGGCCAGACACTGAGCAGCCATCCTGAGCCATGAGGTGATACAGTAAAAACAAGAGGGGCAAGAAAGCAGACTGCTGGACTGAGAGAAAAAGTGTCACAGTATAGGGAAGAGGTCTGAAGCTTAGGGAAGTTCTATAATCTATTGTTGAATGTAAAAGGAACTGAAACCTCCTGTGTGGCCATCTCTGGGGTCCTAACACTGGGTGTAGTGGCAGTTGGCATGGTGTAGATGCAGCAGAGATGTGAAGAAACCCAGCTCTTCACTTCAAGCATCACTAACACCCTTCCACAAACAAGTAACAAAACATACGAAGTCTTTTCATTAAAAAAGAAAATGTCCAGCAGCACCTGAGTGGCTCAGATGTTAAGCATCCAACTCTTGGTTTTGGCTCAGGTCACGACCTCAGGATCATGAGATCAAGCCCTGCATCAGGCTACACACTCAGTGCGGGGGTCTGCTGGAGATTCCCTCTCCCTCTGTCCCTCCCCATCGCAAGTGCTGGTTCTCTCTTAAATAAATAAATAAATAAATAAATAAATAAATAAATAAAATAAAATAAAATAAAATAAAATAAAATAAAATAAATAAATAAATAAATAAATGAATAAATAAATAAATAGTTTGAAACAAAACAAAACAAAACAAAAACCTACACATTCTAGACATTTTGGAAGATAAGGTAGAGCAAAGAGAAAGTTCCGTTGATTTTTGCTTTAATGTAGTTGTGATATGAGCTTCTACAGTGATACGAGTTTGAACACGTCATGGGCATTTCCCCATGTTGTTTATTTTGCAATGGTGGTGTTCTCGTCCATCAAGTAGGTGGACAGCAGTGCCAACTGTTGGCTTACCAACGCAGCTACTAAGTTTTCACTGTTATAAATAGGGGAAACTTTGTGCATTAAGCTTTTTCCCAATGTCAAGTACTTTCCTTAGGATAGATTCCCAGAGGTCGGGATTACTTGGATTCAAGTATATGAAGACTGGGGTGCCTGGCTGGCTCAGTTGGTGGAGCA